GGTCTTGCGTTAGCCTCCATCAGGGTGCACCTCGCAGCAATATCGGCATTCACATCACCTATAGATGGCGTTTCTATCTTCGCCCATCCTACGACTAAACGATTTCTCAAGGGCCTTATCAATATGGACCCACCACGCAACCCAGTCCCTCCTGTGTGGAGCCTGGACTGGCCTGTGGTACTCGATGCCCTAATGAGGCCACCGTTTGAGCCTCTGGCGACCGTATCCTTACGATTCCTCACTCTGAAAATGGTTTTCCTGCTCGCAATAACCTCTGCACGCGGGGTTAGCGAGCTTTCCGCCATGATGGCCATTCCACCATATACGATTTTCCGTAGCAATGAGGTAGTCCTACGATTACATCCGAGGTTCCTACCCAAGATTGTCTCCAATTTCCACGTTAATGAACCAGTCATCTTGCCAACCTTTTTCCCGAAGCCCCATGCCTCGCCACGGGATGTGGTCCTACATTCCTTGGACATCCGCAGGGCCTTAGCGTTCTACATAGATCGTACTAAACCGTTCAGGCTTACGGACCATTTATTCGTCTCCCTGGCACACAGGTCAAAGGGTCAACGCCTATCTTCCCAGAGAATCTCCAATCTCGTAACGGCATGCATAGTGCAATCGTACGCAGCAAGAGGGTTGCCCCTTCCGTCCCAACCACACGCTCATTCTACTAGAGCCATGGCCACATCTACAGCCTTCCACAGAGGCGTATCTCTGAAGGACATTTGCAGAACGGCGACCTGGTCCTCTCATGGGACCTTCGCTAAGCATTATTCTATCTCTCTCTCTCTCTCATTCAGATGGGGCAGTGGCGACTGCGGTGCTCTCCACGGCGGATAAATAGGGTCTCCTTGCCCTCCTTCCTCTTTCGGCGACTACCGCTATGCAGTCACCCATAGTGGAGCACCCGCGGGGACATCCCCGAAGAAGAAAGCGAAGTTACTCACCTCCGGTGCAGTAACTGTCATTCTTCGAGGTGGTGTCCCCGCAGGTGCTCCACTACCCGCCCTCCTCCCCACTTCGGAGTCCACTTTTCTGCTTGTGTCTTATGGACTCTGAGACGGCCTCGAGGAACTGGCGGGAGGCTGGACTGCGCGTCAGAGAAAAGAGCGCAAACGCCGTGAGCCACCGCGGCGCATGCGCAGTCCGGCCAACTACTGCTTCCAGAAAAATCTCCATTCTGGTTGAGCACCCACGGGGACACCACCTCGAAGAACGACAGTTACTGCACCGGAGGTGAGTAACTTCGCTTTCTCTCAAAGAAACTCAGGAGCCACCTTATCAGCATACTATACAACAAAAAGAAGAAAATCAAGGAGGAGCTCTCAGCATTAGAAACTCTCATAAAAAACCAAGCTTGCCCACACACTTCCTCTTCGCTGGACTTTACTAAAACCCAACAAGCCACCTACAAGGATCACTTAATCTCCCTTCAGAAGAAAGAGGACAATAAACTATCCAAACTCCTACACACCTCAGGATCTCTCATTCCTGGTACTTTCAACTCACCTAGCTTCATTGTCAACTTATCCAGCCACACTCTTCAGCCGGCAGAGGAATCTATCCTACCTCAAGGACTCTCCTTCTGCCCTGCCACCCTCACAAATATTTCAGTTCTGTGAAGAACTGGAGGCCTATTTTCGCTGCTTCCGCTTAAAGGAATATTTCCTGCATACCAATGTACAACACACTGACCTTGCAGCTCCCGCCTGCCAAACCCACAAGAGAAAAGCTTCTATATGGACCCCTACTAATGGTCATAACAAGAGTCTTGACTTCTACGTCAATTGCTTCCGCAAATGTGCACAGGCTGACATCAGCAAACGATAACATATAACACATAACCTCAGTCATGCAGAACTCAATGATATGCACAGCCTCAGAAACAATTCTAACATCATAATCAAAGAGGCTGACAAAGGGGGCGCTGTAGTCATCATGAATAGAACAGATTATCAACAGGAGGTGAGCAGACAACTCACCAACACCAGATTCTACAAGCTTCTCTTCTCTGATCCCAGTAAAGAATACCAAAAAACCCTAAATCAGCTGTTCATGAAGGTCCCTGATACTGTTCAGGACCAAATTTACACAAACACCCTTCCCCCACCAATCTCCAACCAGGAGTTTTCTATCTGCTACCCAAGATACACAAACCTGGAAATCCCGAACTACTCATCATCTCAAGCATTGGTACACTTACAAAAGGATTATCTGGCTATATTGACTCTCTCCTCAGACTCTATGCTGCCAGCACACCTATCTATCTTAAAGACACCACTGACTTCATGAGGAAACTACAGAACATCAGTAATCTTCCTGAAAACACCATCCTGGCTACCATGGACAGGGCTCGACAAAGAGCCGATCTGCACATGCGCAGATCGCTGGACAGCGCGGCTGGCGAGCAAGGCTCGCCGTGGTTCGGCGAACCCTGACCATGGATGTATACGTTCTTTACACCAACATTCCACATGAGGATGGATCACAGGCTATCAGGAACACCATCCCTGATGATACCACTGCACACCTGGTTACAGAACTCTGCAACTTTTTCCTCGCCCACAACTACTTCCAATTTGGAGACAATTTGTATCTTCAAGTCAGTGGCACAGCCATGGGCAGCTCCATGGCCCCACAATATGTCAACGTATTTATGGCTGACCTTGAACAATGTTTCCCCAGCTTTCCACCTCTAGCAGCCTTCCTCTACTTACGCTACATTGTTGACGTCTTCATCATATGAACCCGCAGGAAAGAGACCCTTAAAGAATTTCACAGGGATTTCAGCAACTTCCACCCCACCGTTATCCTCGGCCTGGATCAATCCACACGAGAGATCTGCTTCCTTGACACTACATTACAATTACATGACAGACACATTTCCACCTTTTTTATGCAGGAAACCTACCAACTGCCACACTTACCTTTATGCCTCTAACTTCCATCCAAGACACATTTCTCAATCTATTGTTACAGCCAAGCCCTAAGATACAACCAGATTTGATCCAGTCCCACAGAGAGAGACAAACACCTACAGGATCTATATAGAGCATTCTTAAAACTGAAATACCCACCCGGAGAAGTGAAAAAACAGATCGACAGAGCCCAAAGAGTACCCAGACATGAATTACTTCCAAGACAGGCAAAGAAGTGAAAACAAAAGAATTCCATTTGTCATCTCCTACAGCTCTCACAATTTAAACCCCTCCAATGCATTATGAACAATATACAACCCATCCTGGAAAATGACCCCTCACTTTCACAGGCCTTGGGGGAAAAGCCAATCCTCACCTACAGATAACCCCCTAACCTCAAACAAATTCTTTCCAGTAACCATGCAGCACACCTCCATCATAATCATCCAGAAATCCACTCTTGGAAATCAGTCCCGTTGCCAATTCCGGTTGTCCAAACTGGATGGTCTCTATGAGAGAGAATTAATGGACACAAATCAGCTATCTGAAAAATCAACACAAAAAAACCTGTTGTAGAACACTTTAACGTGCCCTGGCACTCATTAATGGATCTCAAAGTCACCATGTTGTTTTAGGCGAATTCCACAAGCCAAATACACAGGGAAGCGTTGGAACTTAACTTAATTTACAAGTTTGGGAGCCATCACAAAGGTATGAATAAAGATATTACCTGGCTAGCACACTACCTTCCACAACCTAATGACTTAATCAATCAAACTATAGGTACTTAAGAACAATTTGTACCTTTTTCTATCAAAAGTTCATGATACTACCTACATGTTTTAGTAGTCAGTCTTTAAGGTGTTGCTAGACTATTAATTGTTTTTTAAGTTTTTTCAGAATGATTGAACAGCTCTGAATGATAAAGTAACTAAAACATGACTATAAAACATCAGTCTTCTCTGAGAGGATGTGAAACAGTTTCTGCATCTCTTGGCATCAATTCAGAATCTCAGTTCTTCCTGTTGTTGATAGAAATTAGAATCATTGATCATTTGTGGATTTAGCTGACTTCTCCCATTACAACTTCCTTTCTCCAGGCAGTACTTTCATAACCAAGCTTTGCTAAAAACTTACTGACATTTGATTTTTATTATGAATTGGTGGCCTGAGAAATGTAGTTTTTCAGTGTCTGTATTGTCAGTTCAGTAGAGCAGTACTGAAGGGATTAACCTAACAAGCCCATGATTGTAAGTAACCATCACTAAACAGAAGAGAAACTGAATTCAACTGTGATTTATGCATCCTTTTACCAAAAGATTGCATTTACTGAAAAAACTCCCAAAATATTGAAGGTCCACACTTGCAGGCTTCAGTGGCCCCCAGGCCTGGTCCCCATGGAAAGTAAGGATGTTAAGTAACAGTTAATTTACTAGTTGAGTAGTTGATGGAATTTCCATCAACTAGCCGAAAGGCACTTCCGCAGTCCTCCTTTGAAATGTACAAGAGCCCCAGTGGGAATGCAGAACTCCACCTGCAGCCCGGGGCCAGCGGGAAGTCCCACTGACTCTGGGCTGCACATGGTGTGCCAGCTTTGAAATGTACAAGAGTCCCAGCAGGGGCTCTTGTGCATTTCAAAGAGGCAGCACAGCATGGAGTCCGGGGTCAGCAGGGGACTCAGAGCTCCATGCCACACTGCCGATTTGAAATGCCACGCGGCGCCGGGGTCAGCTGGGGACTTCCCAGCTGGCCGCGGTTCTGCGCAGCATTTCCCCAGAATCTGGGATCAGGTGGGGACTGATCCCGGGTTCTGTGGAAAGGCCATGTTGGAGACTGGGATCTGATAGAGGCAGCAAGGGGGAGAATCGACTAGTTGACTGACTATCCAATAAGCATTTGCTTATCAGATAGTTGACTAGTCCTTAACATCCTTAGTAGAAAGCTGTTGTAGAAATGGAAAAAGTGGGCTTCAGCAGTTGATACCCTACTTTGAACTTAATATGAAAATATTTGCATTTGCTGCTGGGGAATGAGTAAAAATGCATTTTTGGATTTCACTTTTTTTTTTTCCAGATCTACTCCTTGCCCCTCTGTAAAACATGCAGATGAGTGGGGTGAACCTTCCAAATGTGAAAATGGGGATAACTGTCAGTATTGCCATTCTCGTACTGAACAGCAGTTCCATCCTGAGGTAAGAACTGAAGTTGCTTTTCCCCATTGTTTAGTGCAGTGTTTCTCAAAGTTCCGCAGCTTCCCTTAGCTGGAGACAGTGAACCAGAGCGAATGGGAGCTGTGAGACTGCAAAGCTATGGAGCCTTTAGGTAAACAAAACAGCATGAGCCCGCTAACGCCTTTCCCAAAGAGGCCTGCACTTTGAGAAACACTGGTTTAATGTGTTGAACTGAATATGCTTTATCTTAATAATGGAAATAGTGAGACAAATGTTTGGCTTAGCACATGGGGCACATTTAGATATGGTACATCTAAATAGTTTTCTGATCTCTTGTAAGGTTTTTGCAATAGTTCTAAGTTGCCTTTTTTTAATATATTAGCCATAATATTAGGTATTTTTATTTCTGAAATCTACCGTCTGCGATCTGTCTTCAAAGCATTGTACCTTCACATGTCTTAAAAGTAGATATATTCTATCCAGAACTGTATGGAATCTGGGCAGGTCATTCATGCAGTAGCTGAATTACTGGAGGTCCTTTTTTAAAAACAAAACAACTTATTAGAAATATCGTTTGTACAGTTCACCTACTAGCATCTTTTAGAGCTCTATTTATGAAAGAGAAGTTAACTTCAGAATGTCTCCTGCAATATTTGGACATGTGTCAAACTACATTTTCACATGATTTGTAATTCTCTTTGCTATGCTTCTTAACGCCAAGGTATAAAATCTGGATTTAAATAGTCCTTTTCACTAGTTATCTTATTTCTTAAGCCTGCAATAAAGTCATAATGCTGATTCCTGTGACGGCATGATCATTTATGGTAAATCACTGTGGTATAATCACAGTAGTAGGAAGGTTTCATTGCAATTGATTGGGGAAAATTGAATAACCAAATTGAAGACAGAAAGAGAAGAAAACAAAAGTTCTTCATGTGTCAGTGTGGATTCCACTGGAAGTATGCATTAGGGAAGTAAAATCCCATTTAAAATATTAACCGGTTAAATTACATGTTTAATCAGTTAACCCCCACAGGTGGGGAGCTGCTCTGGGTAAGCCAGGTACTGGTTAACCAGTTACTCCAGTAAGTATGCCATTAAGGCAGTGCTTACCAGTTAACCCTTTACATCTATGGTATGCATGTGTTTTATGTGCATGACCTTAGAATTTTTCATGTCTATGTATTCATGCCCCGAAAAGGAAAGTACATCAACACTCCTTAGTTTCCTCTTACTATTTATCTTTTTGTTATGTGTTTGTACAGCCCCTTGCCCACAATTGGGGCTCTTAGGTACTATGACTATACAAATAATGGGGGGAAAAGAGTGGGTAAAGTCTTCAAAACTCTCCTTGTCTTGAAGAGGCAGAAGCACAACATTGATAGGGAAGAAGACTGGGGAAAAAATCAGTACCAAAGTCAACACCAATAACTGTCTTATTACTGAACTATTTGGTGTTCATCAAAGAGTTCTAAAGGAACTCAAAGTGCTTAAATCAGCCCTGTCCCTGATGACTGGAGGATAGCTAATGTAAAACTGACTTTTAAAAGAGGCTGCAGAGGCTATCCTGGTAATTGCACACTGATAAGCCTAACTTCATTACCAGGTAAATTGATTGAAGCTATAGTAAAGAACAGAAGTATTAGACATGCAGATGAACATGATATGTTGGAGACGAATCAACACTGTTTTTGTAAAAGGGAAATCATATCTCATCAGAATTCTTTGAGGGTGTGGATAATGAGGAGTCAGTGGATAGGGTACTTGGACTCTCTGCAAGCTTTTGACAAGATCCGTCACTAAAGTGGGATAAGATGGAAGACGTTTTCATGGATCAGTAGCTATTTAAAAGATAAGCAAAAGGATAGGAATTAAGGTTCTGTTTTCACAGTGGAGTTAGGTAAATAATGGAATTCCACAAGTATCTGTACTGGGACCAGTGATGTTCTATATATTAATACATGGTTTGAAAAAGGGATTACATTTTGAGGTGGCAAAGTTTGCAAATGATGCTCAGGATTGTGTAGCCCAGAGCAGATTGGAAAGAGTTTCAAAGGGCTCTCACAAAATTGGGTGACAAGCAGCAACAATGGTAGATGACATTCAGTGTTGATGTAAAGTAATATATCCCCATGATGTATGCATACAAAAAGAGTTGTTAGCCACTCTAGAAAGATTTCAATGTCGTCATGGATAATTTTCTGAACACTTCTGCTCAATGTGCAGGAGCAGTGGGAAAAAAAGTGTCTTTGG